GTGCACATCCTGAAGTCTGCCTGTCAACCTTTTTTCCACCAGAACAATAGGCATACTAGGAAAATAGCTAACAATTTGGTCAGATGGAGCAATTAAATTGGCCTAAAATAGGACTAAAATTCAGCAAACTCACCAACACTGTACTTTAGTCTGTGGCGTCCATTGCTATGATGGCAAGCAGCATCAAATGAATAAACACACATGGGATTTTGATTTACAAAAATCTGGATAAGCCATCTGTAATAGAGGTGGTTTTAAATTAGTTGTCTTTGACTGTACCTAACAGGCATTATACATTAACCCTTTCAGGGTCCATGCCGTAGATCTATGGTTTTACGTTCAGGGTCCAAACCATAGATCTACGCCATGAGTTCAGCTCACTCTGATAAGCTGTGAGTGGTAAATTTGGGCCTAGATATGAGAGAATACATCTATGTGGTATGTGTGCACCACATAAAACAAATCCTGCAGCACACTGTGTATAATGAGAGAAAAAAACTGAGACCGTGATTTTTTATTAAAACAGTGACTTTGCAGTGTTTTTTTGTATGTTTTTTATAGTTGTGTTTGTGATTTTTTGGTCTCATTTGATAGAATGGAAGATATATTACAGAAATAGACTTGATTTTGATTGGTTTTAGCACTGGAAATGGCTTGAAACTGAGCTCAAAGCAGTGGAAATGTTAAATTTTTGTCGATGTTCATGAGTAAACAAACGACCTCACATGTCTAATACACGCCAGCTGGTGGGTCTAATATACATTCACAAATGTGGTGATGATATTTATACAATTATTACAATATTGCATAACAGTAAATCTTCTATTTTTTGGTTTGAATAAAAATTCATTATGTGAAAAAAAATCAAAATGGCATTCATTTGTAAAGCCTCAAAACATAACTAATGAACAGATGAAATGTTAGTTTAGTGCCAGGAATGTCTGCATTGTTTATTCTGGACTCTATTTTGAAACTGGAATATTTTGAACTTTTTGTTAAATTGGCCAAATTACCAATTTCCGATCACTTTATTTTGTAGTTGAAACAGTTGACTGGGCGATTTATTGCGCTCATTCAATAGAATAGAAGTAATACTAGTGAAATAGCTAAGAATTTGGTCGACTGGAATAATGTAATTGGCCGAAAATGGGAGTCAAAGTCAGCAAAATCACTGATTCATAAATATTGCAGACACATCAAAATTCACGAGAGCATAATTTCACCAATTTTCCATCAAATTTTGTACTTTTTGCTTTATTACCTTCAGAAAAAGATTCTCTACCATTTCATAAGAAAAAATAACAAATTTTTTTTTTGAAAATTCTTGGACCCTGGTGCACACTTTGAAATTTGGCCTCTGGACCCTGAAAGGGTTAAACAGTTCATTTTGATCAAAATTTTTGAACAGGCACCACATGAAACATATGAAAATTTGTTTATTTTATAACTAAAATATGGTTAAGCAAGAGTCCATCCTAAATTTTTTTTTTCAATGATATGGTTGTATCCCACCAATTAGGGTGACCTAAAAAAAGAAAAATGAAAGTTTTTCTTTTTAAATTTAGAGATTTATACAAGAGAAGGGAGTTACTATCTCTTTACTTCCAGCTTTTTAGTCACCTCTTATGATACACATGGCTTACAGAGGAAGAATTGTAATAATGTTGGTAGAATTACCGACAATATGTAAAGTAAAAGGACACAAGTGCAACTAATGTGACATTTTATTGTGGCAACATTTCGCTCTCCAGGAGCTTTATCAAGCCATTACAAACAGTACATGGACACAGAGGGTATATATAGGCTCAGAGTGAGGTGTAGTAGTAATAGTAGTAGTAGTAGTGTAGTAGTATAGTAGCAGTGTAGTAGTATAGTAGTAGTAGTAGTGTAGTAGTATAGTAGTAGTAGTAGTACAATATGTTAGAACAATTAACTTGCACATGAGTAAAAGATATAAAAGCTATTACTTGGGAAACATGAAAATTGGTTAGACAAATATTTCTATTGGAGGCTGGATAGAGAAGGCCTGTTTCAGTGTTCATTCTCTGTAATGTGCTTGTGTAGTATTAACAGGAGAGACTATGTGATGGCAGGATTTACTGTTTTCAGGAGGATTCTTGCTAAGACTTCAGAGATGGTGAAGCTGCCTTTGTTTTGTTTAATTGTATTAGAAACGGCTATTAGTGAAGATTCAAGGCACTTGCGTCTGCGGAAATTAGTTTCTTTGATCACTGGTTGGGCGTCCCTGAACTTCATGAGATGATTGGTGGAATTTCGGTGTTGTACACAGGCGTTGTTCAAGTTATCGTTCCTACAGGCATAAATGTGTTCATTGAGGCGGGTGTCGAGGTTTCTTGCTGTTTCACCTACATAAATCTTGTCACAGCCTCCACAGGGTAGAGTGTAAACCCTTGCGTTGACTGATTCATGGTGCTTGGATTTTGTTCTGGTTAGATCCTTTATCGAAGTGCTGAGCGCGCCTCAGCTAGCCTGCTTTCAGTTATTGTGCCAATGTTTACAAGCCAGAGTGGTCACTCCCAAGTATACATTCCAAATACTTTGTATTATTCCAGTGTTTTTAGTGCTTCTAACTGCTAAATAAGCCACCATGAGCCCAAAGAAAGCTTCTAGTGCCAACCCTGTGGTAAAAAGGGTGAGAAATATTATTGAAATACTATCGTACCACGGTCAGCTGCTACTGCTGCTGTAGCACCGTCAGCTTGTTGTAGCACCATCAGCTGCTGCTGCTGCTGTAGCACTATCAGCTGCTGCTGCTGCTGTAGCACCATCAGCTGCTGCTGCTGTAGCACTGTCAGCTGCTGCTGTAGCACTGTCAGCTGCTGCTGTAGCACTCTGCTGCTGCAGCATTGTCAGCTGCTGTTGCAGCACTGTCAGCTGCTGCTGCTGCTGCTGCTGTTGCTGCTGTAGTACCGTTGTTGGTGTGGCTTATCGAGAATACCGAGAAACAATTAACCCCAGAGGGTTAGCCACCCAGGATAACGCAAAAAAGTCAGTGTCATTGAGGACTGTAACTTATTTCCATTGGGGTCCTTAATCTTATCTCCCAGGATGCGAACCACACAGTTGACTAACACCCAGGTGAACAGGAAAAAATGCCTGGAACTAGTGCTCATTGGTGAATTTAAGGTTGGTTTGAAAGATTTAAGAATCATAGTGGCATATACAGTGTGATAAGGCCTGCTCTGGAAGAAAATGCCAAACAGGACCTACATTACTGAGGAGGAAAAGGCACTCCCAGGACAGTCTCATCAGTCATTGCTGCATCTTCAATAAAGGTAAGTGTCATTTATTCTTCATTTAGTAGAGTAGAGTAGAAAATGTATATTTCATGTGGTAAATTTTTTTTTTTCATACTTTTGGGTGTCTTGCACGGATTAATTTGATTTCCATTATTACTTACGATCATTTCATCTTATGATGGGCTCTCAGGAACGGATTAATATCGTAGGCCGGGAGACCACTGTACTCTATTAGCCTATTCTTAGTATGCAATTTGGCATTTTTCCATATCCAGTAGTCCTGCTATACAGCAGCCTATGTCTGCTTCATCGAGGACTTCAATAGGATGCTAAAAAATGTTTCTTTATATAGGTCTCCCTCCACATTCGCAGGGGTTAGGGGATCAAGAACCTCGCTAATGTTGAAAAATCGTGAATGTTTGGTGCACAAATGTATTGTAGGGAAATATAATAATAGCATTTACTTAGCATAACAATACTGCTTCCTTAACCTACTGAACCATGATCAATCATAAAACACATGAAAACATTGTAAAATACTGTACTAGTGCCAGCCCTTTGGTAAAGGTGAGAAAAACTATAGAATTCAAGAAAGAACTTGTAGCAGAGTACCAAAATGGAGGAGGAAGAGAGAGGGGAGAACGTGCCGTCTTCAATGATTCTGCAATATGTATGATACTAAAGCAGCATGAGTCGATAATGGCTGTAGTGCCAGCCAGCAATAAAGTGCAGCGTTAACAGTGTAGCAAGTAAGTTAAGTGGTTAATCGGTAGAAAAAGGACAGCGCAAACCTAACTTCTCTAATGTTGTTGGAGGTATATAGGGCTACTGAGAACACCACCTCTGCTGGCCTTCACCACCTCTATGTATGGCTTATGCTCTCAGTGGCCCTTATACACCCAACAACAACAACGTAACACCACTCGTTATTTATAACAGTAATAACGAGTGGTTATTACTGTTATTAATATTGTTTATTATGTCATATTAGATCAATTGTGATAGATAAGTAAGCCGTAGGGTTGATATTAGTGTCATATTGACGGGCTCTCTTGCCCTGTCTCTGAACAAACTCTGCCACCCCCACCATCCCTAACATACGTAATGACATATTTTAAATATGATTGGGCTGTTGGGCATTCGCGAATGTTTGAAGCCCGCGAAAGTGGAACTCGCGAATGTGGAGATACCTGTAAATCAAGTGAAAGATCAATGAAACAGCTTGCAAAAAGCAGCACAGTACAACCTCTCCTCCCTTAGTGACACGCTCATTTACCGACACCTCGGACTTACGGCAGGCTCTCTGACCAGTATTCATACCTAAATAATGTATATTAAAACTGATTTCCTCTATTCTCTTTATAAATATACCTCTATTCTGTTTATAAAATATACCAGAAATGTTATATATGGTGCAAAAGTGACATTAAAACAATATCAAAGATGGTTGACACAAACTAACTACCATTATAGTATGCTCCTCACTTAGTGAAAAATTCGTTTAACAACGTGGTCTTACTAATGGGACTCCATCGTTAAGTGAAGAGAGGCTGTAGTAAGTTCTACAATCACTGAAATCTTTAAAAAAATCTTTCCAATACACTGACTATGGAAGATAGGGCACCAAGAGCTTTGCTGTCCTTTTGTTGCTTGAAATAGTTATCACAATAAAGATGTAACATGAAGATATTTTTGTGTGAGGTAGTTTTCTAATTGAACAATTTGCATTTAATCTTACAGTTTCCTCTGGAAGCCAGGACAGCAGTGAGAGCAGTTCTGGAAGGTTTAGTGCGAGAGAGACTGAACGCAGCAGCTTTACAGGTATGACCTTGACAGAAATCACAATTATTACTATATAAAGTATCTTTAATAATAATTTTATTATTATTATTAACACACTGGCTGATTCCCACCAAGGCAGGGTGGCCCAAAAAAGAAAAACTTTCACCATCATTCACTCCATCACTGTCTTGCCAGAAGGGTGCTTTACACTACAGTTTTTAAAGTGTAACATTAACACCCCTCCTTCAGAGTGCAGGCACTGTACTTCCCATCTCCAGGACTCAAGTCCGGCCTGCCAGTTTCCCTGAATTCCTTCATAAATGCTACTTTGGTCACACTCCAACAGCACGTCAAGTATTAAAAACCATTTGTCTCCACTCCTATCAAACACGCTCACGCATGCTCGCTGAAAGTCCAAGCCCCTCGCACACAAAACCTCCTTTACCCCCTCCCTCCAACCTTTCCTAGGCCAACCCCTACCCTGCCTTCCTTCCACTACAGACTGATACACTCTTGAAGTCATTCTGTTTCGCTTCATTCTCTCTACATGTCCGAACCACCTCAACAACCCTTCCTCAGCCCTCTGGACAACAGTTTTGGCAATCCCGCACCTCCTCCTAACTTCCAAACTACGAATTTTCTGCATTATATTCACACCACACATTGCCCTCAGACATGACATCTCCACTGCCTCCAGCCTTCTCCTCACTGCAACATTCATCACCCATGCTTCACACCCATATAAGAGCGTTGGTAAAACTATACTCTCATACATTCCCCTCTTTGCCTCCAAGGACAAAGTTCTTTGTCTCCACAGTCTCCTAAGTGCACTGCTCACCCTTTTCCCCTCATCAATTCTATGATTCACCTCATCTTTCATAGACCCATCCGCTGACATGTCCACTCCCAAATATCAGAATACATTCACCTCCTCCATACTCTCTCCCTCCAATCTGATATCCAATCTTTCATCACCTAATCTTTTTGTTATCCTCATAACCTTACTCTTTCCTGTATTCACTTTTAATTTTCTTTTACATACCCTACCAAATTCATCCACCAACCTCTGCAACTTCTCTTCAGGATCTCCCAAGAGCACAGTGTCATCAGCAAAGAGCAACTGTGACAACTCCCACTTTATGTGTGATTCTTTATCTTTTAACTCCATGCCTCTTGCCAAGACCCTCGCATTTACTTCTCTTACAACCCCATCTATAAATATATTAAACAACCACGGTGATATCACACACCCTTGTCTGATAATAATAGAAGCCATCCTGGGAAAGGTTGAAGGGAGGGGGTAAATGAAGTTTCGAGTCCTAGGGGCTTGGACATCCAAGAGGTTTGTGAGTGTTAGGAATGAGTAGAGGAAAGTAGTTTTACAGTTTGACGTGTTGTTGGAGTGTGTACAGGGTAACATTCATGAAAATGTTCAGGGAAACTGGTTAGGCAGCCTTGAGTCCTGGAGATGAGAAGTACAGTACCTGTACTCTGAAGTAGGGATGGGGATATTGTGCTTAGGAGGGTCATCTGAACTGTGATGTTGGCACCCTTCTGAGAAGATAGCGATTGAATGAATGACTGAAAGTGTTACCCTGTCTCAGTGGGAGACCCTGAAATTAAAAACCTGGCTTGAGACTCCCAGATTGAAATTCTGGCTTAAGTCCCTGAAAATGAAATCTTGTCTTAAGTCCTGGATTAAAATCTTGGGTAAAGTCTCAAGATTGAAATTGTGGCTTAAGCCATAAAGTTAAAATCCTGGCTGTACTGCTTCAAGACAGTGTTAATTTAGTAGATATGAATAATTAAACCTGCACAAAAAATATGAAATGATATATTGTTGTGTGAAGCGTGGGTGATGAATGTTGCAGCGAGGAGAAGGCTGGAGGCAGTGGAGATGTCATGTCTGAGGGCAATGTGTGGTGTGAATATAATGCAGAGAATTCGTAGTTTGGAAGTTAGGAGGAGGTGCGGGATTACCAAAACTGTTGTCCAGAGGGCTGAGGAAGGGTTGTTGAGGTGGTTCGGACATGTAGAGAGAATGGAGCGAAACAGAATGACTTCAAGAGTGTATCAGTCTGTAGTGGAAGGAAGGCGGGGTAGGGGTCGGCCTAGGAAGGGTTGGAGGGAGGGGGTAAAGGAGGTTTTGTGTGCGAGGGGCTTGGACTTCCAGCAGGCATGCGTGAGCGTGTTTGATAGGAGTGAATGGAGACAAATGGTTTTTAATACTTGACGTGCTGTTGGAGTGTGAGCAAAGTAACATTTATGAAGGGATTCAGGGAAACCGGCAGGCCGGACTTGAGTCCTGGAGATGGGAAGTACAGTGCCTGCACTCTGAAGGAGGGGTGTTAATGTTGCAGTTTAAAAACTGTAGTGTAAAGCACCCTTCTGGCAAGACAGTGATGGAGTGAATGATGGTGAAAGTTTTTCTTTTTCGGGCCACCCTGCCTTGGTGGGAATCGGCCGGTGTGATAATAAAAAAAAAAAAAAAAAAAATATTGTTTTAAAATTTAGGTAAATGTCAGCTAATGTAATAAACATAAAATATATGATTTAAAAAAAAAATTTATGAAAAAATAAACTGTACAGTTATAACACTGACTGCAGGAGGCCTGGTCTGGGACCAGGCCAAGAGGACAGTGTTCTCTGGAAGCCATCCCAGGTAAACAAACTTTTGATCATTGAAACATATGGCAGTAGATGGTCAAAGTCTGGAATAATTAGAAATCTTAGGCTCAGCTAGGACACCAGTCAAGAGTGGTCTCATCTGTCTTTGGTTTGAACTCTACACTGTGTTCAATAAAGTGTAAATGATGGTATATTGGGTGGATAATATTGTTTGAAGAGGATAGTGTTTTGTTCTCATCTAACATTATTGTCAATCATATAGTGCAGAGTTTGACCAAAAGGTGGATGAGCTCACTCTTGTAGCTGCATGGCCCCACTTGCAACTGGTGTATGGAAGCTTAAACTTAATCCAGCTGTTGCCATATGTTCTATTGATCAAAAGTTTGTCCCGCAGCCAACATTATAACTTCTCACACAGGGAATTTAACCCTTTGACTGTTTTGGTCGTATATATATGTCTTACAAGCCACCTTTTTTGACGTATATAGTCATAAATTCTAGCGGCTTCAAATCAAGCAGGAGAAAGCTGATAGGCCCACATGTGAGAGAACGTGTCTGTGTGGTCAGTGTGCACCATATAAAAAAAATCCTGCAGCACGCAGTGCATTATGAGAAAAAAAAACTCCAACCGTTTTTTTTTTTAATTAAAATGCCGACTTTGTGGTCTATTTTCCTATAGTATTTATGGTTCTATTCTCGTTTTCTTGGTCTCATTTGATAGAATGGAAAACACATAGAAATAGGGGTGATTTTGATTGGTTTTTCTATGAAAAGAACCTTGAAATGGAGCTCAAAGTAGGGGAAATGTTTGATTTTTGCTGATGTTCAAAAGTAAACAAATGATGTCATTTTCCAATGAATGTCCAAGTAGCCATTCTGATATGCAGTCATGAATGGGTTGATGTTATATATACAATTATTACAATATTGTAGTAGTCTGCATAACAGTAAATCTTCTATTTTTTGTTTGAATAAAAATTCAAAATAGAAAGCAGGAGCAATATCAGAGGGGCCTGGAGACGTGACTGATGAACAAAGAAAATGTTATTTTAGATCCAGGAATGGCTGCATTGTTCATTCTGGACCTGTTTTGAAACTGTCATATTTTTTAATTTTCGTGAAATTGGCCAAATTGCAAATTTCTGACCACGTTATTGCATAGTTGAAATCGGTAAATGGTCATTTTCTTGTACTCAGTCGATAGAAAAAATGGAGTTCTAAAGAAATAGCTATGAGTTTGGTCGACTGGAACAATGGAGTTAGCTGAAAATAGGGTTCAAAGTGGGTGAAATCGCCGATTCGTAAATATCGCCGAGGTCGCTGACTTCGCGAGAGCGTAATTCTGTCAGTTTTCCCATCAAATTTAATTCTTTTGGTGTCATTACAATCAGAAAAAGATTCTATCATTTCATAAGAAATATTTTTTTTGGAAATTTTGCGACACCAGGAGACACCTCAGGATTTGGGGTTGCGACAGTCAAGGGGTTAATATAGTGTACTGGTGAAATTCATTCTGTACAGATATTTTAGATTTTGTAAAAATGAAGAATCAGTAAACACTGTCAGGACCCCCAAAATTTAAAATGCTGATGCTGTTAAGGTTGAAAAAAAATTACTTTTGAAATGGGAGAGAATCTTTTTCTGAAGCTAATAAAACCAAAAATACAAAATTTGATGAAAAACTTACGGAATTATGCAGGCACAAAGTTGGCTATCAGACGCCATTTATGCATTTAGCAATTTCACTAGTATGCCTTCAGTTGTAGACAGTTGAGCACATAATACACTGTAGTCAACTTTCAGAACTGCTTGGAGTTTTATGACTCACTCGCCACGAGTTCAGTCCCCACCTGTGGTATGGTTTGTTTGCATTAGTGTTATTACGATTTCGTGAGTAAGAAGTTGGTAACTTGGCCAGTTTTACACAAAATTCAGCAAATTCCAATTTAAAAAACAGAATCCAAAATAAACACTGTATGCATTCCAGCCAATAAAGTAATCTATACTCTGTTCATTAATCTCAAACTGAAAATTTATGCTGTACTGAAGTTGTATTATATTTCCTAATATAATGAACTAGTAATTGACAAAGAATTTATACCTACATGTACAGTGGACCCCCGGTTAATGAACTTTTTTCATTCCAGTAGTATGTTCAGGTGCCAGTACTGACCGAATTTTTTCCCATAAGGAATATTGTGAAGTAGATTAGTCCATTTCAGACCCCCAAACATACACGTACAAACGCACTAACATAAATACACTTACATAATTGGTCGCATTTGGAGGTGATCGTTAAGCGGGGGTCCACTGTATTTTCCTGTTGACTGCCATTCATTTGTGGCACATGCAGTTTCCTTATTTTGCCTGATTAAGATTTTCTTGCTTAATTTTGAATTGTAGTGCAGTCTTCCCTTCAAAAATTTTATTAGAGTATTTCACGGGTTTATTACTCACTGGGAGAAGAAAATTTTTTCAGTCCATCATGTGCTGTAATTTGGCAGGATTGTTGTTGGCCTATTGTTTGCTTGTAATGTTGAACTTGGTACATAATCTTATATATGTGAGAGATCAGCTCTATTATGCCTCACTGAGCCTTTTCCAGTGAGCTAATATATTTCTGTATTTACTGGTATAGAATACTAAATGAGGGCATGCAAGGAATTTGTAAATATGGATGATACTTGTTTTAGTGCTTGTTTTCAATAACATTTCCTCTAGGGATTGTTGTTTCTAATATACAGTACTCCCATCTGCAGACATTTTAAATACTTTTGTATATTAATTTTTGAGCAAGTGCTAAAGAGTTTTAAAATATGCTGATTTGGTTGTTTCATAAATAAAACATGAGACATATGCACTAAGAAGAAGAATGTATGGAGAAAGTAGGGAAAGAAACATATAATGAAGTAAAATGAGAGAAATATGAAGGTGGAGAAACTAAAGTAGATCACCAAGTGACCCAACTGCAGTAGTATTTGCAAGTACTATGATACAGCTCTTAAATGAAAAATGATAGAGCTATTCTCATAGACATTTATTCTGCTGAATAAAACATAACACATGTAATTGAGAAAAAACCTTATGTTCACCAAACAATATTTCAGAACAAACAACAGTAAGTTATTTTTATCTCTCAGCATGATGAACCTATGGGTTCAGTCCACAGCCAGGGGAAGATGTATGGGAAAATCTCCTTGTACTAACTGCCCATGGTACCTAGGAATAGTAGATCGTTGTCTAAGTCTAGGGAAGTGGGCTGAAGGATAATTAAAAATGTCACACTAGTTGGTTTTCTTGAGTTATTCTTAATTAAGCCTTCAGTTTAAATAACTCAAAGAATGTCTTATTCCAAACATTGCTATTGTTCAAAATTCATTGGGAAAAATTATGAGACAAGTCTGGGGACTCTCACCCACCCAAGGTCACTCAAATTGATGGTCAACATGTATATGCAGGTACTGTACTGTAAATGCTTTCTTTGGAAAGAAGCAGAACAACATTAGTTAGTTCAGATTCTGAAGTAAATTACAGTATTTTGCTGAAAATTAGAAAATTGTTGAAGTATTTAAAAAAATTTGGTCAGCTTTTAGATATTCATTTTATTTTCCTAAACTTTTTATTTGACAGGTCAAAGATAATGATACAGAGGAAGAAGCAATTTCACCATGTCACAGCTTGAGCCAAGATAAGTCAAGCAGTACCTCACAAATAAACGCTCCTTCAGATTCCCATCATGAAGCTCTGCCTGAGTCACATGGCCTTGAGCAGGTTGGTGTTGACTTACATTACAGCATCACAAATCTGTATTAGCCTGGGTCAAGGTTTTCTTGCACTGCTAAATTTTCTGATTTTGTGAATAACTAATTAGAAATACATGTACAAGAGATTCCTATCGTATACACAATCACACTTACCAACTTGGTACTTAAGAACTAATTAAAGTTTACAACCTCAGATCTACATTATAAATTACTATAATCAAATCTACGTGTTAAACCACTAGGGTCATACAGTGCTGCTCTACAGTATGAGATGTGTGAAACATAACTGTCCTTTGTACTAGAGTATTGGTTTCTACACAAATAAAAAAGTTAAAATGGTTATAAATTTGACCATAATTTTTAAAGGGGTGGACCAGTAAGCCAACTGAAGGCCTCGGTCAGATGACCAAAAGCTCCAGCTGTGAGTCATCATATGACTAAGACCTGCATCAGGAAACATTTGTCCTTAAATAACAAAAAGGCACAATACTATGACTGGAACAATACACAAATAATCCGCACATAGGAGAGAGGAGCTTATGACGACATTTCGGCTCGACTTGGACCATTTACAAAGTCACACTAACAAAAAGGAGAGAAGGAGGGAGTATATACAGGCCAGCAGACAGGGACAGGACAAGAGGTAGTAGGAAAGAAAAAAAAAGTAGTGGTAGAGGCAGTAGTAGTAGTAGTAGTGGAGTCAGTCAAAGACTAAGAAAAAGGAGCACTACAAGGGAGCTAGGGGCCCACAAAAGGGGAAAAATAATAATGGACAAGACACCCAAGGCAGAAGAAAACCCAAAGGAGAAACAGGAAAGAGGAAAGGGGAAGAGGGAGAAGGGGAAGAAAGAATCACTTTAAGTCACAGATGTTCTTGGTCCTGGCTTTGTCTCTTTTGATGCCTTCCATTCTCATTACATTGTAAAATGCTCCAAACTTCAGAACACCTGTGACTTAACCTGATTCTTTATTCCTTCTCCATCTTCCTCTTTCTTCTTTCTCCTTTGGGTTTTCTTTCTTGCCTTGGGTGTTTGGTTAATTATTCTTCCTCCCCCCCCCCCTCTGTGTTCTTGTTCCTACCATTTTTGGGCCCCTAGCTCCCTTGCAGTGCTCCTATTTCTTAGTCTTTGACTGACAACGACGACGACGACTACTACGACTACTACGACTACTATGACTACTACTACGACTACTACGACTACTACTACGACTACTACTACGACTACTACTACGACTACTACTACGACTACTACTACGACTACTACTACGACTACTACTACGACTACTACTACGACTACTACTACGACTACTACGACTGCTACTACGACTGCTACTACGACTGCTACTACGACTGCTACTACGACTGCTACTACGACTGCTACTACGACTGCTACTACGACTGCTACTACGACTGCTACTACGACTGCTACTACGACTGCTACTATGACTGCTACTACGACTACTACTACTACTACTATGACTACTACTACTACTATGACTACTACTACTATGACTACTACTACTACTATGACTACTACTACTACTATGACTACTACTACTATGACTACTACTACTATGACTACTACTACTATGACTACTACTATGACTACTACTATGACTACTACTACTACTACTACTACTACTACTACTACTACTACATCCTTGTCTAAGGCCTACTTTTACTGGGAAATAATCTCCCTCTCTCCTACATACTTCAACTTGAGCCTCACTATCCTCATAAAAACTTTTCACTGCTTTCAGTAACCTACCTCCTATTCCATATATTTGCAACATCTGCCACATTGCTGCCCTATCCACCCCATCATATACTTTTTCCAAATCCACAAATGCCACAAAAACCTCTCTACTCTTATTTTGATTCTGTTCACCTATGTTTACAGTGAAACACTTGGTCTACACACCCCCTACCCTTCCTAAAGCCTTCTTGTTCATCTGCTATCTTACTCTCTGTCTTACCTTTAATTCTTTTTGAATAATAACTCTACCATACACTTTACCATGTATACCCAACAGACTTCTTTCTTCTTTCAACGAACCAGCTGTATTCCACCGAAATAGGGTGGCCCAAAGAGAAAAACAAAAGTTTCTCTTTTTAACTTTAGTATTATATAAAGAAGGGATTACTACTCCCTTGCTCATAGCATTTTAGTTGCCTCTTATGATACACATGGCTCATGAGGAAGAACTCTGTTCCACTTCCCCATGAAGATAAGAGGAAATAAACAAGAACTAGTAAGAAAATAGAAAAAACCCAGAGAGGTTTGTATATACAGTATATGCTTGTACATGCATGTGTAGTGTGACCTAAGTGTCAGTAGAAGTAGCAAGATGTACCTGAAATCTTGCATGTTTATGAGACAGATAAAGAAGACACCAACAATCCTACCATCATGTAAAACAATTACAGGCTTTTGTTTTACGCTCACTTGGTTGGACAGTAGTACTTCCCTGGGCAGCTGCTGTCTACCAACCTACTGTTGACTCAACAGGCTTTTTTTTTTTTTTTTTTTTTTTTAACAAGTCGGCTGTCTCCCACCGAGGCAGGGTGACCCAAAAAGAAAGAAAATCCCCAAAATGAAAATACTTTCATCATCATTCAACACTTTCACCTCACTCACACATAATCACTGTTTTTGCAGAGGTGCTCAGAATACAACAGCTTAGAAGCATATACGTACAAAGATACACAGCATATTCCTCCAAACTGCCAATATTCCAAACCCCTCCTTTAAAGTGCAGGCATTCAACTTCCCATTTCCAGGACTCAAGTCCGGCTATATAAAAATAACCGATTTCTCTGATTATTTTTTTTTTTTATTATCACACTGGCCGATTCCCACCAAGGCAGGGTGGCCCGAAAAAGAAAAACTTTCACCATCATTCACTCCATCACTGTCTTGCCAGAAGGGTGCTTTACACTACAGTTTTTAAACTGCAACATTAACACCCCTCCTTCAGAGTGCAGGCACTGTACTTCCCATCTCCAGGACTCAAGTCCGGCCTGCCGGTTTCCCTGAATCCCTTCATAAATGTTACTTTGCTCACACTCCAACAGCACGTCAAGTATTAAAAACCATTTGTCTCCATTCACTCCTATCAAACACGCTCACGCATGCCTGCTGGAAGTCCAAGCCCCTCGCACACAAAACCTCCTTTACCCCCTCCCTCCAACCTTTCCTAGGCCGACCCCTACCCCGCCTTCCTTCCACTACAGACTGATACACTCTTGAAGTCATTCTGTTTCGCTCCATTCTCTCTACATGTCCGAACCACCTCAACAACCCTTCCTCAGCCCTGTGGACAACAGTTTTGGTAATCCCGCACCTCCTCCTAACTTCCAAACTACGAATTCTCTGCATTATATTCACACCACACATTGCCCTCAGACATGACATCTCCACTGCCTCCAGCCTTCTCCTCGCTGCAACATTCATCACCCATGCTTCACACCCATATAAGAGCGTTGGTAAAACTATACTCTCATACATTCCCCTCTTTGCCTCCAAGGACAAAGTTCTTTGTCTCCACAGACTCCTAAGTGCACCACTCACTCTTTTTCCCTCATCAATTCTATGATTCACCTCATCTTTCATAGACCCATCTGTTGACACGTCCACTCCCAAATATCTGAATACGTTCACCTCCTCCATACTCTCTCCCTCCAATCTGATATTCAATCTTTCATCACCTAATCTTTTTGTTATCCTCATAACCTTACTCTTTCCTGTATTCACCTTTAATTTTCTTCTTTTGCACACCCTACCAAATTCATCCACCAATCTCTGCAACTTCTCTTCAGAATCTCCCAAGAGCACAGTGTCATCAGCAAAAAGCAGCTGTGACAACTCCCACTTTGTGTGTGATTCTTTATCTTTTAACTCCACGCCTCTTGCCAAGACCCTCACATTTACTTCTTTTACAACCCCATCTATAAAAATATTAAACAACCACGGTGACATCACACATCCTTGTCTAAGGCCTACTTTTACTGGGAAAAAATTTCCCTCTTTCCTACATACTCTAACTTGAGCCTCACGATCCTCGTAAAAACTCTTCACTGCTTTCAGTAACCTACCTCCTACACCATACACTTGCAACATCTGCCACATTGCCCCCCTATCCACCCTGTCATACGCCTTTTCCAAATCCATAAATGCCACAAAGACCTCTTTAGCCTTATCTAAATACTGTTCACTTATATGTTTCACTGTAAACACCTGGTCCACACACCCCTACCTTTCCTAAAGCCTCCTTGTTCATCTGCTATCCTATTTTCCGTCTTACTCTTAATTCTTTCAATTATAACTCTACCATACACTTTACCAGGTATACTCAACAGACTTATCCCCCTATAATTTTTGCACTCTCTTTTATCCCCTTTGCCTTTTTACAAAGGAACTATGCATGCTCTCTGCCAATCCCTAGGTACCTTACCCTCTTCCATACATTTATTAAATAATTGCACCAACCACTCCAAAACTATATCCCCACCTGCTTTTAACATTTCTATCTTTATCCCATCAATCCCCGCTGCCTTACCCCCTTTCATTTTACCTACTGCCTCACGAACTTCCCCCACACTCACAACTGGCTCTTCCTCACTCCTACAAGATGTTATTCCTCCTTGCCCTATACACGAAATCACAGCTTCCCTATCTTCATCAACATTTAACAATTCCTCAAAATATTCCCTTCATCTTCCCAATACCTCTAACTCTCCATTTAATAACTCTCCTCTCCTATTTTTAACTGACAAATCCATTTGTTCTCTAGGCTTTCTTAACTTGTTAATCTCACTCCAAAACTTTTTCTTATTTTCAACAAAATTTGTTGATAACATCTCACCCACTCTCTCATTTGCTCTAAATATGACCCTGCTCGCACTCCAGCTCTTCAGGTCCTAAATACCATTCGTCTCCATTCACTCCTATCTAACACGCTCATGCATACTTGCTGGAAGTCCAAGCCCCTCACCCACAAAACCTT